GACTGACAATTTTGCTTATTTAGAGTATTAGAAAAAGCTAGTTTACAATTTATTTTAAAGTCAAGAGGAAAATCACTTCTCTGAAATCTTAGGTTAGCCTAGGTTTTGTGATTTGTACTGAGTTGTACATGTGGCATTTTCATACCCTGAGGCTATGATAAAAATGTTGCAGTTATTTTAAAATTTGCTAGACCATACATACCAGGTATTATGAATGTCCTGTGTATTGTTTCATTACCTTTTAATTATCAGTACTATTATGAATTGTTTGGCAGGAGAAACAGAAGAGAGATCTGGAGGCCTTGATTGCAGAGGAGGAGAAATCTTGTTCCAGCTGTGAGGGGTATGTGTGTGCTGTATAGTCTAAGTACTTATTTAAAAGTTATTTTTACTGAGACCTGGGACCTAGTTTGTAAGTTCTGTGGGATTGACTTACTTATTATGAAGGTATATGAATTGTATGTTGAATAAATGCAATACATGTGTACTACGTTGCACCGTACAATATGTCCATGCAAAGAATAATTAATTCAGTGACCTTATATTTTAGGGCTTCTGTCGAGCTTGACTGGATAACAGAGTTTGCAGTCAAGAAAGAGAAACAGGAAAAACTGGACAGTGCAAAACAAAAACAACAAAAATTGGAAAAGCAGGAGTCTAGATTGTTAGAAATAGGAAAGCAAAAACAGTACAGAAAACGTAAACGAGATCCACTGGAGGAGGAATTTGAGGAGTTAATGAAGGAAGCTAATCCTGATGTACAGGCCGCCTACCGCGAGGAGATTGACAAGGTCAAAGGTCAGGAGGCGGATCAAGGGGACGAGGACTTAGTGCCAGAGGATTACCATAGCGACGAGGAGGTCAAGTCTGAGGATGTTTCAGAGAGTGAGGACAATGAGGAAGAGGTGGACCATGTGACTAAGATCTACTACTGCAGTCGTACACATTCTCAGCTGGCACAGTTCGTCCGCGAGATCGTCAAAAGTCCCTACGGTTCTCACACCAGAGTGTTGACTCTAGGATCAAGGCAAAATCTGTGTGTGAATGAAACTGTGAAAAAACTGAAGTCTCTGTCTTTGATGAATGACATGTGTCTAGATTTACAGAAAAATAAAAGTAAGAAGATCGAAAGGGAAGCCAGTGGGGAGGCGATCAGGAAGAGGAGGGAGAAGAATAGCGGGGGATGTCCGTATTACCGCCAGGAGACGATGGAAGACCTGGGCAATCAGATATTGGCAGAAATTACAGATGTGGAACAGATTGTTAAAGCAGGTCAGGCCTTAGTTCTTAAAACTGACACAGGTTAGGAAATTAATTTATCACAGCACAAAGATGTATATAAGGAGAGCTTAATGTGAATTTCATACCTGGCTAGGCGGGGCCGAGTCATGTATTTTCTATATCGATATGTATCACGATATATTTGAGCCACGATACGATACGTATCAGGATATGTTTAATTGCTTATAAAATCTGTTTGCATTGAAATCATTTATGTATTGTCTGTGGTTTATAAATTTTTTTCTCTGCTACAAAATTCATCCTTTATACTGTGTTAATTATTATTTATTTCACAGTCGTATATTTATATTTACCGTTATTGATTTATATATTGACTGGGCAAAGTAATTCACCTGGTAAAAAAGTCCTTCATGTGACAGACTTCAACCAATCGTAAGTAAGGATTTCATAAAAAAAATCATCATAGGTGGGGTAAACGAAATTATCAAAGTAAAAGGATGCTTGTAAAGAGATGATTTTATATCATATTTAGTGTTTAATTAAAAGTTCAAAGTCTGAAATGTTAACAACATTGCCACAAAATGTGGATGTAACTTAAAATCTTGAATTCTTATTTATAAAGGCTCTTAACAAGATTGAATTCTCTGATCTTTATTGTTTTGTTGTAAGGTCGGCAGATGAAGGCCTGCCCTTACTACACAAGTCGTCTATCTATACCACTAGCTGAGGTGGTGGTCCTCCCATACAATATCATCCTACACAAGTCTACTCGAGAGGCCAGTGGAATCCGTTTGGAGGGGAATGTGGTACTGATTGATGAGGCCCACAACCTGCTGGAGACCATTAACTCTGTGTACAGTGTCACAGTGACGGGGGCCCAGTTAACCAAAGCCCACAACCAGCTTAGTCAGTATGAACAGAGGTAAGTAGACTGGTGCCCAGTTAACAAAGACCCAGTCAGCTCAGTCAGTATGAACAAAGGTAAGCATACTGGTGCCCAGTTAACCAAGGCCCACAGTCATCTCAGTCAGTTTGAATAGAAGTAAGTATACTGTACTTTTGATCTTATTCTGGATAGTGAGATGATCGCAATAAACAGTAGTCCGTATGATCCCTATTAACCGCCCCTGCCCCTATAAGCACCCCCATTGGCTTTTTCAATTGTCAGGAAATAAGGGCCCCCTGTACAATGATTAAAATCATCTAGAATCATATCAAGAGTCTGCAAAAATTTGAAGAAAGTGAAAATAAAACTTGTCTATTTTCCAATTTCTCTGTGTAAAATGAATCATATAGCATAAAATTGTGTGTATTATCTTCACTTAAAGTAAAGTTAGACATTATCTAAATGGTTCTTTGAATTTATTTTTTTTTCTCAAAAGATTTTTAAAGTTAAAATATGACATTAACATAATAACCGCCCCCTTTTCACAATTTTCTAAGTGCCTGGGGTGGTTAAAAGGGATTATATGGTATTGAACTTTAAATGTCTTAACAGTCAATGAAAATAACCCTCAGGAATTGAATTGATTCTACAATATGTTGTTAATTTTGACTGTGTTGGATACATTTTCTACATGTGAATCAATGAAAAAGAAATGTTTCTTACATGTATTGCAGATTTAGATCCAGATTGAAGGCTAAAAACTTACTGTACGTGAAGCAGATTCTGTACATACTGAACTGTCTGGTGAGATTTCTGGGAGGGAGGACAGACAAGGATGGAGCCAAACAGGGTGTTGGGAAATATGAGACCAAAGTGCTCACCGTTAACCAGTTTCTGTTGGAGAGCGGGTTTGACAACATTAACCTGTTTAAGATTCTACAGTATTGTCGAAAGAGCCAAATTTCCAAAAAGCTAAATGGATTCTTGGAGAAATATCCAAACAGTGAGGTCACCATGGCAGCAGAGAAGACCAAAGAGAGAAATGTGGGAGTGTCGGGTTTCTTGAAGGAAATTACACAAAATGTAGAGAGCTCGGCTTCATTGGAAGAGACACAGAAGACAAGTGGCTATAAGGGAAATGAGGACTCTGTGGTTATGAGGTCACCATTGATGCACATTGAAGGATTTTTTGCCTCTTTGACCAGTGCGGATAAAGATGGCCGAATCGTGCTAACCAAACAGCCATTGATGAGCAACTGTTCCTTGAAATTTCTGTTGATGAACCCAGCTGTTCATTTTAAGGATGTGCTCACCCAGGCCAGGTCAGTTATAGTGGCTGGGGGGACCATGCAGCCCATGGACGAATTCAAACAGCAGTTGTTTTTTGCTGCAGGCATTGGTCCAGAGAGGATTCTTGAATATTCATGTGGTCATGTGATTGCCTCTGATCATCTATTGGCTCTGGCCATGAAATCTGGACCAATGGGGATAGATCTGGATTTTACCTTTGGTTCACGAGAGAACTCAGCTCTTCTGAATGAACTTGGGTTGATTGTGAGTAATGTCTGTGGTATTATTCCAGGGGGCCTGGTCTGTTTCTTCCCCTCGTATGATTATCAGAATCTTGTTTACCAGCATTGGCAGAAGTCGGGCATTCTCACCAAACTGGAGAGGAAAAAGAGGATATTTCAGGTTTCTCTCTTATTTTCATTTACTGGTTAGGTACGTGTATCTTTCTCAGAATTTAAAAAGTTTCTCATAATGAAGATTGCTCTAGTGTTGCAGAGTTGCAACAGTATTGCTACAATTTATCTTTTTACAGAGTTTGGGAATGAAATTCAAGTCATCAGGAACTTAAAGTACTTAGTATATTTATAACAGTAGTCAGTCAAAGGAAGAAAATCAGTTTAAGCTTAATTAGTTTATAAAGAAAAATATGTTTTCATTTTACATATTTTGTCAACACCAGAAGAATAAGATTTGGAGTTATAGCTGGTAGCAAAAATGCTTTTTTAAAGTTAATTTTTTTATGTTTTTAGGAGCCTAAACTGTCCAGCCAGGTGGAGCAAGTCCTTGGAGAATATTCAAAGTCCATCCAAAAGTCCAGTGGTGGGGGATCAGGTACAATAATGCATGTATAGTTTTGGGAAAGATAAAAGTACAACTAAACATAAATTACTGTAGACGTCCTCTTTTCCAAGGGCTCATAATTCTGCGGAATCTCAATTTCTGTTTATTCCGCGGGTAGAAAATTTCGCGGATTTCTCAGACTGTCACTATATTCCTTACATTTAAAATAAGTACACTTGGGCAAATTTCCGTGGAAAATTTGTGACCGCGTACATTGCGTAAATTAATACCATGCAGAAAAAGTACTTCTACAGTATTTAAATAATATACCAGTTTATTTTCTATTAGTTTTACAAAACATAAAATAATAGAATGCATATCAAAGCACTAAAGAACAGTAATTTTTACTACATAAATGTTAAACAAACTACTACACTGTAGCTGATGTAACAGATGGCCCGATTCTTTCTTCAGCACTAATATGAGGGAAGATTTTTACAAAGTCAATGTTTGCTTATTATGTGCATGACCATTTTGGCAATATAACAATTTCAGGCGCGATTTTGCTGTGTGTGGTGGGAGGGAAGATGAGCGAGGGGATCAACTTCTCGGATGAACTGGGTCGAGGCGTCATCATGGTGGGCATGCCTTACCCTAACATCAGGTCCCCAGAACTTCAGGTCAGTGTATACTTTGTCTGTCTCACAGAAGAGGGGGAGTGTACCAGGCTTGGTATTGGAATCATTAGATCGCAGAGCTTACAATGATGAAATTATACATTGATTGAAATTGTCAAATTGAATATATATATAGGAAATTTGCAGGGGTGTGCAATTAGAAAAATCAATAACTAGCCCACGGGCTAGTGGCAGCTATAAAGTTACTAGCCCCAAGTGAAAAGTTACTAGCCCAAATATAGGGGCAAAAATTAAAATAAAAAACTATACGTTGAAAAGAAATTAATTGTTGAAAAATCAGGGTACTGAGGTCATTCTTTTTAAAATTAAAGTTTAATTCTCACTATGAAATTAAATCATGTATGAATTATAATGAAAGAAGATTAAAATGAATTTAAATAAATTATCTTCCCTTTTTCTGAACATTGCACTAGCTCATTTAGAATGAAATTTAATTTGTTTTGTTTTCATCTTAAATACACTATAAAATATATTTTATGTGAGTCATAAAACACTTATCTTTCAGTTGATTGAGTGATCATATATAATTTAATGAGATATCTGCATGTATTTACCATAAACGAAAGAATAGAGGAAATTCGGATTAGGAAAAAACGATCGTTTTTGGAAGTAAATAAGTCAGGTAGTGCTGCAAAACAGATAAGATTTTGGAGATTTATTGAGAGTAGGAGCATGTTGTCAGAAAAAATTTCACTGGTTGAGAATTTGATAGCAAAAACGAGTGAAAATATAGGTTGTGCTTTTCATGTATTTTGTGTGTAGTTGTAATTTTTACTAGCCCGACGGGCTTCCTCCATGCAGAAAATCACTAGTCCGACCCCAAAAAGTGGTAGCTACGGGCGTCGGGCGATGCTAATTGCACACCCCTGATTTGCAATATTTTCTTCATGCATAACTAACAAAAATGTAAGGGGAGCATCCTCGGGTAGTGTTAGTTGAAGTTTATTCCAAACATTATTCCCCTGGGTAAAGAGGGGGTCATAATATGTAATCAGATTTTCACAGAATATGAAAAGAATTTTCTGAAGAACAGAAGAGGCATTGTTACTCAGGTGAGTGTTGTGGCCTTTTGGCCTCTACTCCATGGTAAGTTTTGCTTCCCTAACTTATTTGGTAGTCATACTTGAAGAAAACATATTATTGCAAATTCTCTATATATACTAAAAAGTTCATTTAATATACCGATAAAAAGAAAAACGGGTTCACATACAGCGAAATCAAATCACAGGTCACCAGGAATTTGCTATAACCCAGGTTTATTATACGCTTAAATTGTCAGTTTAATCTTGTAATTTGGAATGGCAGAAGGCACTGCATAATGCATGTAACTATGTACTCCTCCCATTACATTAAAAATTTTCATGATCATAAATTTTTTTATGTATATTGCAGGAGAAAATGCAATATTTGAATTCCAATTTCCCAAAAGACAAAGAAGGCCATCTCCCAGGTCAAGTTCACTATGAAAACCTTTGTATGAAGGCCGTCAATCAATCCATTGGTCGAGCCATTCGTCACCGTGGCGATTATGCAACCATTCTGTTGCTTGATAAACGATACTGTAAGGAGAGTGTAAGGACAAAACTCCCGACCTGGATTGGGAAAAATCTGCAGAAAATGGAGAAGTATGGCCCAGCTGTAGCTGCTATTTCTCAGTTCTTCAGAGGAAAGAAGGGCGATTCAACAAGTTAGATTTCAATGGGATTTAAATGACATTCCCTGGTTATGATTTTATATTTATGTTTAGTTGTTTTATTACCATTGTCTTGTTAAAACATGTACTGATTAAAACACACATATTTGAATTGTTTTTTGCTTTTCTGATTTTCAATGTTTTGATTTATCGATACAGCTGTGTAAGTAAAACAGGTTGTCAATGAAGTCTATAGCACGCCAAATTCCCAAAAATGAGCAAAACATAGTTTCACAGTCGATAAACTAGGTTTATCGGTTGTAAACTATAGTTTACGGACTGTAAACTATAGTTAACGACGTTAATCTATATTTTACATCTGTAAACTACAGTTAACTCGATAATCTATGTTTCACAACCGTAAACTATACTTAACACCGAAAACAATCATTTGCGATTGCAAAACATAGATTATCTGATAAATACAGTTTCACGATTTATAAACTATAGTTTACAAACCGTTAACTATAGTTAACGATCTGATAAATATAGTTTCACGATTTGTGAAACTATGATTAACAACTCTTAACTATAGTTTACGATTGTAAACCATAGTTTACAAACGTGAATCTATGTTTATCAACAAAATCTATTGTTAACGCTTATTACAGACAGATAAACTTAGATTATCATTCGTAAACTATAGTTAACAACCTTAAAATATAGTTTTACAGATGAAAACTATACTTAACGAATCGTTAACTATAGTTTACGGTTTGTAAACTATAGTTTACAGTCGATAGACCTAGTTTATCAATTGTGAAACGGTTTAGCTCATTTTTGTGAATTTGGCGTGCCATAGAAGTCTCTGGAGAAACAGGTGGCCAGCATATTTCTTGAAAATGTCATTTTTCAAAATATTAAATGGTACATGTATAAATATATAGTCTTTGGATTATCTGTCACTGTCA